CAAATAGAAAAATAAAACAATACCTATATAAAAAATATTGATTTACAGCTTTTATAAGAACATGGATTATAACATGCATTACAATTTTTTTTTTTGTTTTGTTTTGTTTTGTTTTTGTAAAGTACACTCATCCCCCAATTAACAAATTAATGCTAATAATTTTTTTATGCATGGGAAAAATACATTTTACAAATCTGCTCAATCATGTCTAAACTCTTCTGTGAAATCTTAATGAATTTAAAATTGTCCAAATCAATTCAACTAAATTGATTTCTCTTATTCTTTTTATTCAATTTTTGTTTTCGTCTATTACTGTTCTAGTCAGTTCGGCCGTTTTAAGTCAAAACTTTATTTTTGGTTTTGGGCTAAAAGGCAATATAATCTGTTGTTTTTTTAATATATCAATGGTATTTAGTCTGTTTTAAGCTGTAAATTTGTCATAAAATACAAGGATTTGTGTTCTTTATGTACATTCCAAATAATAATATTATGTGATTATAATTTTATTTATCAACAAAACTCTTATGCGCAAACTAATATTAAGCTTTTTTTTTACTTGTCTTGATCACTGATTTAAAAAAATACGCGCGTTTTGACTTACATCTTTTTTAAAAATTATATGTAGTAATCGAATTACTATATATCAACATAATTTACAGGGGCATATAATAATATATCAAATTTCCTACATTTTATATGTTTTTTACATATCCCCAACCTTTCATATCATAATGAATATACCATAAACTTCAAGAGACTCTTAACATATGTATGCAAAGATTATCTTATTTCCTCTCAGCTTCTATCACATTTAATATTATATAAAAAAAATATATATACTATATATAATTAAATATATATAAATTATATATATATTTTTTCACATTTTCCTATGAAGAAAGTTCTCTTGCTTTTATGGAAGTTAATCCTAGTTTCTCTCGGTGGTATCGACTCGCTTAGAGACTTGAAGAAACAGTATCGCGAGGAAGCTGGCCTTGATACACAACAGGAAGACACTATCGAAGTCGCCAGAACAATGAGGGCAAGTTCTCCTCCTATGAGTGCAGCAGATCTATTAGAAACACAAAATCAGAAAAGGAACAATCGTCCTTCTCGACGGGTAAGTTGTCCATTTAAAATTATTTTACATGGATATTTTGATGCTTTTACAAATAATAATAGCAGATATCTTTTACAGAACTTTTTGATGAAACAAAGCTCGTTAGATGATCCAGGCTTAGGTATGGAGTATGAAGGAGGGGAATCTCCAAATAATACTACAGCAAATGAAGGAGATGGTGAAGTGATTGTTTTTCTGGGTCCTGGTGGTCCTGGTGGCTGCTGGAATCAAACATATTATGAAGATCAGAATAATCCAACACAATTGAGGCCAAGCACTCCACAGCATACAAAAGGAAAAGGTAATATATTATTTTAATTTTATTAATTTGTATCTCATTAATATGTAAATATTATTCATCAGGTTTACCATGGACGCCTAAAGTAAGACAAAAAGATGTAGACAGCTTCCTTGAAGTTGCCAGATTAAAATTTGTTGGTTACAAATTACAAGGAGACAGGGAAAGTTTAGCGGGTTTGCCGCAACCAATTCATGAAGGTGTTACTACCCTTAAAAAGGTATTTGCTTGAAATTTATAAATTATATTGATATAGCATCACTACACTCTACTATACTAAATGTTACAATATTTTAGCATATGTACACATCTTTAGCAGAAATTCAGATACGGAAGGAAGAAGAGATAGCAAGAAATCCAATGAGTACTTCAGAACCACCGCTACGTCAAACACCAACAGAAATTCTTTATCAAGCTATATTACCGAATTTGCCACAATATATGATTGCATTATTGAAAATATTACTTGCTGCTGCACCAACTAGTAAGGCCAAAACAGATAGTATTAATATTTTGGCTGATGTGCTACCAGAAGAAATGCCGTAAGTACTAATAATATGTAATATTAATGAAGTCTTTTTAAAAACAAGAAAAAAAAACATTTATATTACACTTTTAGAATGACAGTACTGCAATCAATGAAGTTAGGGATTGATGTTAATCGACATAAAGAGATAATTGTTAAAGCTGTTTCCGCAATTTTATTACTACTGCTCAAACATTTCAAACTAAATCACATATACCAATTTGAATTTATGTCACAGCATTTAGTATTTGCAAATTGCATACCTCTTGTATTAAAGTTTTTAAATCAGAACATTATAGCTTACATTGAAGCAAAGAATGTGTAAGTAAGAATGTTATTGCTAATTAAATTTCTAACCGTATACATTATAATACATAATTAATAATTTATATTGCAATAGTATTCCTATTTTGGACTTCCCCATATGTGTCATTGGCGATCAGCCAGAATTAACTACTGAAAGTCTCGAAATCGGTCACAGTCAATCTTTTTCATGGAGAAATGTTTTCTCTTGTATCAATTTACTGAGAATTTTGAATAAATTAACCAAATGGAAACATAGCAGGATAATGGTAAGTCAATAACAATTAAATCTAATTGTACATATATAATTCATATACATTAATATGTATTCACAATTCATTCATATTTATAGATGTTAGTCGTTTTTAAATCGGCACCTATTTTAAAACGTACATTGAAAGTTAGGCATGCAATGATGCAATTATACGTTTTAAAGTTATTGAAAATGCAAACGAAATATCTCGGTCGGCAATGGAGAAAAACGAATATGAAAACAATTAGTGTTATTTATGCAAAAGTTCGACATCGCTTAAACGACGATTGGGCATATGGCAATGGTATAATAAATTTAAAATATTTTACATTTTATATATATGTGTGTGTTTAAAAGAGAAAACAAAAAAATATTTATATGTATATGTATGTATGTATGTATGTTTATTTGTTGTGTGCGCGCGCGCGTGTTCCTTTTCTTTCAAATTTATGAAAACTTTAATTAGAGATTTACTATAAAAGTATTATTATATATGTATATGAACAAAGTTATAACACAGAATGTGTAATGTAATTTCGTATACTAATCAGATTTAGAAGCACGGCCATGGGATTTTCAAGTTGAAGAATGCGAGTTACGTACATGTGTCGATCAATTCAATAATCGAAGATATTCAAATGCCTTGAGAGATGAAGAGATGGAACCGATTGATGCATCTGTAACATCAGTACTCGGAACAAATGTGGAATTGACTGAAGAATTTAAACAACATTATGAATTATGGTTGCAACAGGAGGTATTTCAGAGAAGTATCAATTGGGACGAATTGTTGGATCCTGCTGCGTGTGAAATATAAGTTTGGTATAAGTAAAACCCATATAAATCGTGTTTTGATTAAATCATAAACCTGGATAAAATTGCGACATTTTTACGAATTGCTATACTTTTGTGAGAAGTGTGTTCAAACAACAACAAAAAAAACATTGCCATATCGACACTGCAGAAATTTCAAAGTTACATTTGGTGTATTGCAGTGAATGGTCCTAATCTAGAAAATGTTTAACGAAGAAACTTTTGACGAAACATGTAAAACATTTAACATTTCTTTTGTATTTAATTTGTGCAATGCAACGTAGTGCTCCTAGTTATTTTTTATCATTAGGAATCGCCAATTTTAAATGTATAATCTTCTCTTTTATATATGTAAAAACACACACATAACAATATATACATAGTTATTAAAAAATTTAGAATACATTTTAATAAAATACATTGATCGACTGTTAACTGTACCACATCTGGATCTCCATTTGAACAATCCAAATAGAAAAATAAAACAATACCTATATAAAAAATATTGATTTACAGCTTTTATAAGAACATGGATTATAACATGCATTACAATTTTTTTTTTTGTTTTGTTTTGTTTTGTTTTTGTAAAGTACACTCATCCCCCAATTAACAAATTAATGCTAATAATTTTTTTATGCATGGGAAAAATACATTTTACAAATCTGCTCAATCATGTCTAAACTCTTCTGTGAAATCTTAATGAATTTAAAATTGTCCAAATCAATTCAACTAAATTGATTTCTCTTATTCTTTTTATTCAATTTTTGTTTTCGTCTATTACTGTTCTAGTCAGTTCGGCCGTTTTAAGTCAAAACTTTATTTTTGGTTTTGGGCTAAAAGGCAATATAATCTGTTGTTTTTTTAATATATCAATGGTATTTAGTCTGTTTTAAGCTGTAAATTTGTCATAAAATACAAGGATTTGTGTTCTTTATGTACATTCCAAATAATAATATTATGTGATTATAATTTTATTTATCAACAAAACTCTTACGTGCAAACTAATATTAAGCTTTTTTTTTACTTGTCTTGATCACTGATTTAAAAAAATACGCGCGTTTTGACTTACATCTTTTTTAAAAATTATATGTAGTAATCGAATTACTATATATCAACATAATTTACAGGGGCATATAATAATATATCAAATTTCCTACATTTTATATGTTTTTTACATATCCCCAACCTTTCATATCATAATGAATATACCATAAACTTCAAGAGACTCTTAACATATGTATGCAAAGATTATCTTATTTCCTCTCAGCTTCTATCACATTTAATATTATATAAAAAAAATATATATACTATATATAATTAAATATATATAAATTATATATATATTTTTTTGTTAATTTGTTAATCATGGCATAAATTTGTATTCATATCTTATTTGGTTTATATAAGAGAGAGCTAAATAGCAGGATTATATGAGTTTAGTATGTTTTCAGTTCATTGTTAATCATGGCATAAATTTGTATTCATATCTTATTGGGTTTATATAAGAGAGAGCTAAATAGCAGGATTATATGAGTTGCAAAATTTAGTATGTTTTAAAAATGCAATACTTAGCTACCGCTTATCTTTGTACACTTTGAGTACAGTTCTTTCGTGAGTATATACATATATGGCAATTCAACTTTCTCTTATTTATTTATAGTCACATAATTACATTATCCCACACAAATTTTTAATGCTGTATAATTTATATTATCAAAGATATTTATACATAAGTATGTCACATTTGTCTGTTACATCACAAACATGTTTTACAATTGTCAAGATTTAATAAAATTGATCTAAATAGACTGATTGATATTTATTTCATTGCAATTATTTTTAAGAAAATACATTTACCTTAAATGGAAATCATATCTTTAAACTGAGATCATGACAAAACTGCATATAAAAATTTTGTAAATAAGATAAAAATTAGATATAGAAATACATGTAAAATTATAAAAATAGTATGTGTATAACAATCTCAAATTTTTGGGAATGCGACAGTTAAAAATTGTGCATCTTTAAATAAATCTTTATAAATTTTTTAGGGTTTGTACTTGCATGATATATAATGATCTTGTATCACAATATCACGGTTTTATCCATTTGTACGAACCATAATAAGCGAAATTATTTTTTTTCGCCATATCGTCCGCTTCCTGGGGCCCGCGAGACCCATATCTGAAATTTTAAACGATCATACATTTTGTGACACATATATAAGACATACTTATACATATTTTGTGATACGTACTTATATGGAATGGGCTGAATTTCCTGTTTCTCGATTTGATGGAGTAATGGCGTGAATATACGCCACGCTTCCTGTAATTCATCATTTCGCACGAAATGCATTTGCGAACCACAAAAAACGTCTAAGATCAATCTTTCATAAGCGTCCGGTAATTTTAAATCCTAAAAAACAAAATATGACACTTTTAATGTATTTGTATTGTGTGTGAGCGTGATACATTATATATATAGATATCTCAGAGTCTCCTCGATTTTAATATTAACGCTAAATTTTCTTCATCAATGAAGTATTATTTACCTTGTATCTATTGCCATAAGTAAGATCCAATTCCGTTTCTTCCATGTCGAACGTGATACCAGGTGATTTCGTCATCATTTTAATGTACAATGCTTCACCCGGCTGCACTCTTATTACCATTTCATTTCTCTTCGCCTTCCCGTCAAAAATATCACCTGGTACATTATGGTATTGTATTCTAACTTCTGCTTTCCGTTCATTTAAAGCTGCAATATCGTGCAATGATTAGAAGAGAAGAAGCAACTATTTGAATACAAGAAATAGATCTCTCTTATCTTCTTACCTTTTCCACATTTGAGAATGAACGGAACTCCATCCCATCTTTCGTTATTTATTTTCAGCACCGCTAAAGCGAAAGTCGGCGTGTTAGAGCCTGCTGGTACCGTGGGATCATCCAAATAACCTAAACGCGCCTCCGGATCTTCAGCATTCGGATCTCCGAGATATTGACCGAGAACTACATCTTCAAACTGCAATTCCTTAATGCATCTCAGAACCTTTACCTTCTCGTTTCTAATATCGTCCGGATGGCAAGATGCAGGTTTCTCCATGGCTACTAGAGACAAAATCTGCAGCAGATGATTTTGCATCACATCCCTGATGATGCCGAACTCATCGAAATAGCCGCCTCTACCCTGAGTACCGAATGGCTCCTTGAAGGTGATTTGCACCGAGGCTATATTGTCCCGGTTCCATGACGGATTGAATACCCGATTCCCAAATCTTAGAGTCATCAGATTCTGCACCATCTCTTTGCCGAGGTAATGATCAATACGATAGATCTGTTCCTCGGTAAACAGAGACGCCAAATTATCGGAAAGGTTCTGCGACGAGGCAGCGTCGTGACCGAACGGTTTCTCAATTATTATTCTCGTCCATCCACTAAAATTGTAATATAGCTTGAATTTTTTTGTAATAAAACTTGAAAAATATTTTTAAATTATCAATGACATAAATCAATGATTTCCGAGACAATTCTTGAGGTATCTCTTTTTCTTTTAATTCTTAATGCTTCGTTCGTTAATTGTTTTATTTCTTGCATAGAAAATTTCGCAAATTCAAAATTTTATACTTACGCATTTCCCATGCACATAAGTTTAAGGCGTACTGTAACGTATTCGAACACGCTCGGTGGTAGTGCCAAGTAAAACAGCCTGTGCGCAACTTTTCTTTGTTCAAATTTTTGCAATTCATTCTCTAGTATCTCGAAGCCTTCTCGCTTATCGTATGAGCCAGAAATATAATGATTCAGTTTCCAAAATTTCTCATACTTTTCTGCCTCGTCTGGCTTCACTTTCATATACGGATGACACTTTTCACGCAATTGTTCTACCGTCAATTTGCTTCTAGCAAAACCAACGAAGATGGTAGGTCTCGGCAAAAGATTATCTCGGAAAAGCCACCAGAGAGTTGGATAGATCTTTTTCTTGGCGAGATCACCCTTTTTGTCACCAAAAATAGCACATATTTAAATAAAAATTCGGACATAAAATGTAAAAAATATGAAGTGTAAAAGAATTAATTAACTGCTTATTATAATATATACATACTTAACAAATAAATATAATCTTAAAAAAATAGCTCAAAACCTATTTTAATATTGTTTCTTTTAGGAGCAAACATGATCGTTGAAAAATTTATTCAAAAAACATTCACATTTAAATCATAAAAGTAAAACTATATTCATTAAAATGAAGATGTTGCAATAAGCAATAATAGACGGATATAAAAGATAAATTATTTGCTCTCGCGGTTGTAATTAACTATATCATATCTTATTATTCATAATTTGCATGTATTTTATATTTTTTTCAAAACTAAATACTCACAGATGCTCCGAAAGTAACAAATGAGTGCGGAATGGACCCGTCGAAATGAGTCCCTTCCAAGTGATCCATTTCGTCCGATGTCAGAGATTGCCTGATATACTGCAGGCTCTCTTCCGTTGATGCCCCTAAATTACATATTCATTTATTTACAATACTTTATATTTGTACATTGCGCTACTTTGTGTGTGTGTATGTGTGTTCGTAATTATTTTTATATAATATTTTTATTTAACATTCCATATTTTAAAGAATTGTATTAATAAGAGCAAAACAAAGTAGAATTAATACATTTTTTATCACATGTGTTTTAGATATGAATATGAATAATAAAAATGTACATCTTTTTATATTGTTTTGTAAGTGAACGCACAATTGTAAAAAAATATGAGTTACGCAACGATTAATGAGTTCGTTGTTAAATTGAGAAAAATTTAAAGTACAAGCTTTGTTTCCTTTTTTGTTTCTCTTTTTGTAAAAACAAATTGTATGTAAAAATAAATGCCATAATATGCTATAT